CCCCCGCCGGCCTGGCGTCGTGTTGGCAGTGCCCCCCCTCCGTTCCCCGAGAATCCCATGCTACCTCCGCCAGCCGCGGGACCTGCCCCAGCCTGCGACCGCATCGACCCCCCTGCCCCGCTGCCATGAGGGCGGCATCCCCCCCCCCCCACACACACGCACACACCGCGACGACGTCGTTGAGGCCGGGGCAGAGGCCGCCGCATGTTACGATGGCCGCCGTCGTTTGCTTGGGGTCGTGAAAGATGGTGGCGCGCGCGCCTGCGAGTTCGTTGACGCGTGGGCAAACCGATCCGCGCAGGGTCAAAGGTCGGCGCGACTCCGGGAGCCGCGGCCCGCGGGCAAGCGAGCCGCAGCGGCGGACGACTGCTTTTTGAGCGGCGCGTGCGCCCGTCCGGCTTCCAACGCACAGCGCAGCACGGCCCTCGCCCTGCAGCCGCACGTGCGACCGCCCGCGCCATCCAACCACCCACCAACAGAAACAACGACCCTCTGCACCCCCTCACCCGCGCGGATGGCCCAGGGTGGCAGCGGCGTCACCAGCTGCTCGAGTGACGCCTCCATCCAGTTCACGCTCTGCTGCGTGCCCTCGTCATTCAGCACCGCGGTTGACGTGCCGCACGCGCCTGCCGACAGCAAGCCAGAGGGGCCGCAACTTCGTTCGCCGCTCTGTCGAGGGCCTGGCCGACGCCGCGCGGCGCGGCGCGGCGCCGGCCGCTGGCCCACAGCAGCGCAACTGTGTTTCCTGTCCTCAGCTTCCCGAAAAGGGGCCCCGGAGCCCCGGCCTCCAGCTGTTCTGCAGCAAATTGCAGCCGCGCTTGCAGCTCTGCAATCCATGCGTGCACCCCTGCCGCCCTGCTACTGAGTGTCCGCTAGTCGGAGGCCCTGCCGCAGCAGCAGCAGCTACCCCGCACCTGCCGAGGTGCCCGATGCAAACTGGATGCTGCTGAGCGCCACCCTGTCGCCGTCGTCAACTGGTGGTGTGGGTAAAAAAATGGCAGGAGGACACGGGTGGGCCAGGCTGGCCACTGGTCATTGATTACAGCCAACGTGGTCGGAGTGGAAGACCGATGCAGTGTGAACCCACAAGAATCTGCAGCATTGTCCTGGTCCGCGTGCATGCGTGGCGAATACGCCTCCGAGAAACAGCGCTGAGCCTTCCTGCGCACCAAAGCCGCCGCCGAAGTAGTTGTGGACAGCAAAGGGGCTGGGCCTGCGCGTGGAGGCGGAGGGGCAGGGCAGCGTCGGTCCTGGGGCCATGGCGAGGCGTGCGGCTTCTGCGGGCCGCGCTGCCGCTGAACAACCGCAGAGCATCGACTGGGCATTCGCGATCGAGCGTGCCGCCTGCAGAGAGCCAAGCGGCCGACCGAAAGAACCTGGCGCCTCGTGGAAATCGCGATGAAGCTGCCGCCCGACTGATGGCGTTGGCGCGCCCTCGCTGGGCGGTTTTGGACACGCGGCTCGACCAGCGGCACGTGCAAGTGGTCACCGCGGGGCGTGGGCCGCTGCATGCGGCGGTCTGCGTCGAACATGACTCACCTGGGAGTCAGGACGTCCCTGATGTCGGGGATTGCGAGGTAGTCATCGTATCCAGGGATGACTGCGACAGTGCGCGACGTGCGCGGCGGAGCAGCGCGACCAAGTGGCGGAGCATGGGGCGGGCAAGGGTTGTTGGCCGGCGGACAAGCGACACACGTCAGCGGGCGCTGCTCATCACCACGGTGCGCTGCGGGCCATAGTGGCAAGGGCCTGCGGCTGCCTCCTTTTCCGCGCAGGGGGGATGCAGGGACGCCGACTGTGCGTGCAGATTCCGCAGCGGGCGCTGCGCACTCACGTGGCGCCGTCAAGCCTGGTGGCGCGGATCGGCGGACCACCGCGTGGCGCGCGCCGCCGCCAACACGAGCACCGACATTAGCACGCACAACTCGCCCTTGAGACGCAGAGGCCTGCATGCTGTGACTCGATCGATACCAGCGGACCTTGCAGGCGCGGAAGTGGGGTACGGTCAACGAAGTCTAGCTGGAGGCGATTTAAACTAGGTATACTTGTGATCTGTCCGGGTGCGGCTGACGAAAGAAGGCTAGATCGGTCAATCGCGGCCAAACCCCTTTGATCCAAACAGCTTACGGCGCGTTCATACAGTGTCTCACTTGCAATCCGACAAGCTCGAACGGCCCACCTCTGAGATTCGGCGTGTGGTAACTGGTGTGTCACCCTGGTGACCCGCGCCACTGCATCAGCTGCCCTGGGTCTTCTTACGACCGTGCATATACATATGATAGTTTTTTTTACTTTCTCATCGATTGATCAAATCGGCTCTTGCTGCCAGAACGCACCTGCACCCCCTGTCTTGACGTCCCGAGAGCGCCACAATAGCGTTGAATCGGCGCAAACGCCTTCAGCAAACATGGGTGAGCATCAAGGCTTGAAAATCAGGCCTAGCCTTGATCTGAACTGCGGCGGCGAGATGGCAAGCGCATCTGCCATGCTGAGCGTGCACGCTCAGCACATGGGCGGTTGTTACGGCCCGCCGCACGCCTCTCGGCCAGCGCGATTCGCGCCTATTCCTCCTTGCCTGCGACTGCCCCCGCACCCGCAGCCCCTGTCATCCCTGCGCACGCGGGTCGCCCGGGGGAGGACGTGCCTGGCGTCAGCAGCAAGCACAAGGGCATCGCCGGGCCCATCCAGGTGCGCGCGCTCGCACCTGCGCCTGCGCCTGCGCCGGCTGTGCCGCCACGCACTAGATGCCGCCAGCCTCCATCCGCCTGGTTGCCCCCAGTCCTCAGCATCAAACGGCACGCACGCACCACTGCCAGTGGTTGGTGTTGGTGCGGGCTCGTTGCAGCATGCGCCGCACTCCGCTCTTCATCAGGGGCCGCTTCAAGGGCCCCTCACTCCAGCTGTGCGATCTTGCTGCACTGGCGCTGCGCCAGTCGCTCGAGGTTAGAGGCCTTACTGACACAACCCGAGGAGACAAACACAGCCCGTACGCTAGCTTGCAATCACAACACACCCATCTGTCATGTGAAAGGCATCTTCTTGTGAACAACCTCCCCGCACTCCTCTTCCCGCTTGCCGCCCCAATTGCAGGTCCCCTCGCGCCTGCTCATGGGCCCAGGGCCCAGCAACGCACACCCGCGCGTCCTCGCCGCCCAGGCGCTGCCGCTGCTCGGACACATGCACCCCCACTTCTTCAAGGTGACCCCTGCCCCTGCTGGCGCCTGCTGGGGCAGTGCTGGGGCACTGCGGGTCAGCTGCTGGGGCACTGCTGGGGCACTGCTGGGGCACTGCTGGGGCACTGCTGCAGCACTGCTGCGGCACGCTTACGATTTTGCGCGGCTGGGGCACTGCTGGGGCAAGGCTGGTGACCTGACAGACTGGGGTCGCGGGCAAGAGCCTTTGTGCCAGGAACAGCAGCAGGGCCTGTGCAATGCCGGCTGGCGCGCTGGGCCTCTCAGTTGTTGGAAGTTGCGCCAACCGCTGCTGGTGGCTGTGCACGCACGTGACGCCCCTTCATCATCATGTCCAGCCCTCTCCCCGCCGTCACGCCACCCTCGGATCGTGCGAACCCCTCAGATCATGGACGAGATCCAAGGGGGCCTGCGCTACCTGTTCCAGACCGACAGCCCCTACACACTCTGCATCTCGGGCACAGGCCATGCTGGAATGGAGGTGACCGCACGCCGCGCCCCGATAGAGCCGCACGCAGTGCACCCGTGCGCTCGCTCACGCGCATGCCACCGCCCAGCAGCGGCGCTGCAGACCCGCACGCGAGAGACGCGGGAGGCGCTGTCCCAGCACCGAAGGGGACCCCCGGGTCTCGCGCCGCGTGGCGAGGCGGTCGCGCGCCGACACGTCGGCGCGGCGCGCTGGGACTCCGTGCCCCTGTCCCAATCACTCTGAGCCCTCACACACCCTCCAACAGAAGTAGTGATGCCTTCATGCCGCTCTTTTGTGACACGCCATCACGGCATGCGTGTACCATAAATCACTTCGACCCACTCACCCATTCATGCTGCTCGCCATTGCCTCGTCACCTGTCTGTGTGACGAGTACCCCCCACCCACCCACTAACTTATGCGTCCAGGCCGTGATTGCAAACCTGCTTGAGCCGGGGGACAAGATCGTCGTTGCCAACAACGGCATATGGGGCGAGAGGGTGGCGGACATGGCCGGCCGCTTCCGGGGTGAGGCGGGCGGGCGGGCGCGCGGGGCCGCGGCGGCCGTCTTGTAGGATCGGGCGGGGGCCGGCTAGCTGGCTGGCATGGAGGTGGGCTACCGGGCGGCAGGCGGACGGGCGCTCCCGTCACGCCCGAGCGGCCAGCTTCTGGACTTTGGCGGCCCTCCTCCATCACACCCCACCCCTCAAAAATTGTTTGGGACTCCCGGGTCATGCCAATCACATCCGTCGACCCCGCCCGGCAAGGGGCCTCACTAGGGCCGTCCCAGGCACCTTATCGACGCACATGTAGTCAGAGGCCTCTCCCCCGCGCCCACCTTCTAGTCGACGCCTGCTCCCGCTCGCGCCGACTCACCTCCCCCTTGCGCCCCGCCGACCGCCTGCCGCCCAGCCGAGGTGGTGCAGCTGAGGGCCCCAGCGGGCAAGACCTTCTCCACAGGGGAGCTCAAGGCGGCCCTGGAGGAGCACAAGCCTGCAGCCCTCTTCCTGGTGCAGGTAAGGGTGTTTGATTTGGTGTTTTTTTGTGTTTTGGGAGTCAAGCTCAAGTGATGGGCACAGCTGGTTGTGCGCATGTTGGTGCTGCATGTCCACAGCGTGCCGGCGTGTGTACGTGCGTGTGTGTCCGGGACCTGCACGAGGGGAGGGGGTTGTGGGTGTTCTAGCAATAGTAGGCGTTAGTTGGGTGGGGCCTTGACGTTAGGGCGGCGCGGACGGCTCCCCGCCTTCGAGCGCCACGCTCCTCCCCGTCGTCGGCCCCGCCTGCGCGTGCTTGTGCGGCGCGCGACCCGCTGCGCATAACGCGGGAACCTGTCTGGTGCACGGGTGAAGAGGCAGCTGTGCCCGCAAGCGCAGTGCCTCTGCCTGTCCTTGGGCCTGCTGCCGCAACGCACACGCACGCCGCCCCCTGTGCCTGGCCGCCTTCACCTTCAAAGGCCAACCTTGTGAGCATGCATGGCTCCAGGGGCAGGCGACTGTATGACGCCGCAACAATCCTGCCCTCCTACATCTGGATCCTTGCCCGGGTCCTCCCTCCAAACCAAAACTATGCCGGCAGGGCGAGTCATCCACAGGCGCCCATCAGGCCCTCGGCGACGGCCTCGGCGCAGCCTGCCGCGCCGCGGGCGCCCTGCTGATCGTCGACACTGTCGCGTCCCTGGGGGGCGTCCCCTTCCTTGGAGACGCTTGGGGCGTGGACGCGGCGTACACGGGCAGCCAGAAGTGCCTGTCCGCGCCACCGGGCGCCGCGCCGCTGTTCCTGGGGCCGCGTGCGATCGAGAAGCTGAGGGGGCGCGGGACGAAGCCGGCGACATACAATCTGGATCTCAACCTGATCGGGGACTACTGGGGCTGGTTTGGCAAGCGCAGGTGCGGGTTTGGTGGGGTCGCGGCGTGGCGCAGCTGGGGGGAACGCCGCGTGGGCGTGGCTGCTGCCACCGGGCTGTTCTGCTGTGCAGTGAGCGCTGTAGGGGCGGTGGCGCCTGAAACGACTGTGCAGCGTTCCGCTCCACCCACGCCTGTCGCTATCTGTGGATCCACCCCTTGCCAAACCCCTAACCCTCAACCCCTTGTTTTTGATAACTTTTCACAACTCCTTTCTGGTCTCACTACAATCAATCTCTCGTTCTCCCCAGCTACCACCATACCGGCATGGTGTCTATGTGGTACGCCATGAGGGAGGCGCTGGCCATCGCAGGGGACGAGGGGCTGGAGGCCATGTGGGCGCGCCACTCGCAGGTCAGCCAGAGTGGGAAAAGCAAAGGGGCCACCGGCGCTCCGCCACGGGCGCGAGGCAGCGCCATGCGCCGCCGCCTGCGCAGTCCCCCTGCTGCTGTCCTGCTGGCCCGCTCCCAACCGCACAGCCGCCCTGCCCTTTCGGCACCCCTCCCCCCCCCCC